TGTCTCTCGAGAAACGCACGGCCATGTGCACCTGGAATTCTAATGCGAGGTAGCAAGGACGACAATTCAACTCTGAAGCTTTCTCAGGTATGAGGTCCCAGCGAAGACCATCGTATAACCCTTTCGCATCCCAGAGCAAACTGCCACTCTGGAAATCTGGGAAACTCGAGTTGGCCGCCTCCTCGCCCCGAAAGAGCCTAATCGGTGCCACCTGCAGAGCCGACGAGCCCGCTAGAGCCGTGCCCCACGACCCCGCACTCTCCTTCGTCCAGGCAGCTCTGTCGGAGTTGCGCGCTCCACCCCAAAAGCGGACAGGTCAAACGAGGAGCCCGATAGCCCTGTCGGCTTCCAGGCTCTTGACTTGCATAGTGGCTAGAATGGCCAGAACCTGCCAGGGCCATCAGCAGAGGCGCTCAACTTCGGTGAGCAGGTCCGCCGGACCTTGGAGTCCCGCCCTGGGGAGCCATGCGCAATCTTGCTTCGACATCTGATCGGCACCTGGTGCTCTGTCTAGGGGCGCCGCCACTCGCTTCGGGAGGTGCTCAATGGCGATGGGCCGAGGTTCGAGAGCCTTCGCGCGCGATTGCGTTTTTTCCAGTGGGCAAATGCTCAATCGAAGGTGGTCGGGCCCCCCTTCCACTCGAGGCTACAAATTTTCCCTCTGGCCTCCATGCGCTGGCACGAGTCCAGCGCCACATCGCCCCAAACCCTCATCCCTCCGACGAACGCAGGCTCATCTTTCAAACGACGGTACAACCCTCAGCCTCCCAGCTGGTCCTGTTGCGTGGCCCACCGGTGAAACTTGCCTGGGCTGGCTTGCAAGACAGAGCGCTGAGCACGGACATAATCCTGGTAAGCTTGCCTGCTGAAGTCTCTAATGGAGTCATCCGTGAGCTTCCAAATGGCCCGGAGACTGCGGCTCCACTTGGCCCTCGAGGTGGGTGTGAGCGGAAGCAACGGAGAAACAGGCAAAGGGACCAACAAGTCTCCATGACGCTCGCCTAACCTACGGGCCTCATTGGAGCCTCTGTCGTTCAGGGGCCCCACAAGATCAGACGAGATGAAATCAACCGTAGAGCACCAATGGGCGACAGGGTCTCTGGAGGACACAAAGTGGGCACCTTGGGCCTCAGGCCTCTTGCGGAGTTTTGAAGGGTGCCCCTGCCCCTGTACTTGCCCTGGCCCCTAGGGCCTCGCCAGGTGGATGGGGCGGGGTCTGCAGAGGGCCCATCCTCTGCACCCATGGCCGCGCCTCCAGGAGGGGCGGGGTATGCGGAGGCACTAACCTCGGCACCCTGCGTCACGCCTCCAGCAGCCACTGCCCCATGGTCACCGAACTGCTCCGCGATCTCATCCTGGCCACTGCGCTCCTCCTCATCGAGCCCCCAGTCCAGCAGCCCCAGGCACTGCAAGGGCGGTGGCATCTTGAACCTCATAGGCTTGCGGGAGGTGAGCGGCGTTTTGACTGACAGCTCTGGCTCCTCAGCCTTGGCAGTCTGGCGGAGAAGACGTTGTCGGGACCGCTTGCTGTCTGGGTCCGCCTGTCGCCTCGGCCTCGGTGGGAACTGGAATCTCTGTGGCGTCTTCAGGACCCATCTCTGCGCAGTCTCGAACTTGAGCCGCAATCTGGCCATATTGCCGACATGCGATTTACCTGCACCATAGCAGGATTTGTCGCCAATTTCCATCGAAAGCGCGAACCTGACCATCGACGGGGTAATGGCAGCGTAATCGATCATGCGCTTCTGACCTGCACTGCGTGTGTACTCACCACCCTTGGGCACGCGAATCAGACCGTCAACTAAGGATGGCCAACCTGACCTCTGTAGTTCTAGCGTGGTCGCGTTGAAGTCACCGATCACTAGCCGAGGTGTTCTGATAGACTGCAGCAGCGTACCCAAATTGATCAGCTTCGTGACATTCATACCATGGATACCAAACTCGCCGGTAAGATAGATGTCGAACGAAGCCGAAGTAGACTGGCCACCAGTCTTGAGCTGGCAGCCTACGAAAATTCTGAAGTCAACTCCAGACAAGGTCGTCTCGGGCTCCTGAATTTGACGAAAGCCCATCTGCATCTGTGCCTGACTAGCTAGATGTCTGAAGCTCCGGAACTGATATGTTTTACGAACGCACATGGAAATTCCACCCGCCTCACTGACACTCTTGAGGCTCCATGAAGGCACCAAGAGGCTCCATGAAGGCCCCAAGGAGCCCCCAAACCAGCCCCCAAAAGGCCTCCCAAAGGGCTCCAAGAGCCCCCGGGAAACCTCCCACGATATCCACATTAACATCCAATAGGCTTCGTACCCACAGCCCAGACACGGTGGCGGGATGGGCCGAAGCCCATTAGATCCGCCGCCCCCTGCTGATTCATCACAGGGGTGCCTTGCGTGCTAGATCCTCTAGGTTTTGGTTTTGCTTCTTTTCCAAAAGAACTCCCCCTGGGCCTCGCGTCCCGCCGGGGCCCCCGGAAGGTGCTCAATCCGGAAACAAATCCTCCAAGATAGCTCAAGATGGCCTCCAGGATGGCCGCGTTGGCCCGAGATGGTCTCCAAGATGGTCCAGGATGGCCTCCAAGTCCGCCCAAGATGGTCCAAGACGGTCTCCAAAACGGCCCAAGAGAGTTCAAGACACCTCCAAGTTCGCCCAAGAAGCCCGCAAGCCCACACGATCCAAGAGGCCCCCAAGAGGTCCTCCAGGAGGGCCCGAAGAGGCCAACATCGTTGGATTCCTCAGGTTTTTGAAGGATTTTGGCATTTGCTTCTTTTCGGCCTTCCGAAGACCTCAAGACGGCCCAAGAAGCCCCCAAGATCGCCCCAAGATCAACCACGAGGCCTCCAAGATGGCCCCATGACGGCCCAACAGGCCCCCAAGACGGCCCCAAGAGAGACGGCCCAAGAGGCCTCGAAGACGCCCAAGATGGCCTCCAAGACGGGCCCGAAGCGCCACAAGACGGCCCCAAGCCGGTTCAGAGAGGCCCCCAAGACGGCTCCCGACGGCGTCAGACGGGCCAGGAACGACCTAAGACGGCCAAAGAGGCCCCAGGGGAAGTCCCAAAAAGGCCCCAAGAGGCCCTCAAGAGGCTCCAAGAGGATGGCCCCAACATGGCCTCTAAGACGGTCCCACGATGGCCCGATCGAGCTCAAGAGTGCCTCAAGAGGCTCGGAAGAGGCATCCTCCCCCTTCTCCTTTTTCCTCCTCCTCCTCCTCCTCCTCCTCCTCCTCCTCCCCTTCCTCCCCCCCTGCGGTCCCCGAAGGCTTTCCAAACCGACTCGGGGAACACATGGTCTGATAGCTTCGCCCCCCAAGATGCCTCCAAGACGGCCCAAGATGCCTCCAAGACGGCATAACTTGGCGTCAATATTGCCCGAGACGGCCCACGGGGCCTCCAAGAGGTCCTCCAGGAAGGCCCGAAGAGACCAACAACATTCATTTTCCCTAAATGTTTCAAGGATGTTGGCATGTGTTTCTTCTCGCCATTCCGACGGCTCAAGACGGCCCAAGAGGCCTCTTCCTCTTCCTCTTCATGTTCATTCTCGCCCGCGTGTTCCTCGAAAGTTTTTCCAAACCGATTCGGGGAACACATGGTCCGATAGCTTGGCAGGCCTCTGGCCACAACGTTCGGCCACATAGGCGCTTCCGAAAGGGCAGGGGGCGGCGGTGATTCGCCGTAGGCTTCTTCGATCCGCCGCCCCCTGTTGATTCATCACAGGGGTGCCTGGCGTGCTAGATCCTTTCGGTTTTGGTTATGGTTCTTTTCCTAAAAGAACTCCCCCTGGGGCTTCGGCCCGTCCCGCCGGCCACCCGGAAAGATCGCCCAGAGGTGGTTGCCAAGGGCTTTTCCTGCTCCAGACGGCTCCAAGACGGCCCAAGATGGCCTCCAAGACGGCCAACATGGCCTCCAAGACGGCTCAGATGGCCCCAAAATGCCTCCCAGATGGCCCAAGATGCCTCCAAGACGGCCTAAGCTAGCCTCAGGATGGTTCAAGACGGCCCAAGAGGTCCCCAAGAGCCCCCCAAGACGCCTCCAAGAGGTTCTCTCAGCGGTTTTCCTTTGGTTCTTGAAGGATGTTGCCATCTGCTTCTTTTCGGCCTTCCGAAGACCTCAAGACGGCCAAAGAGGCCACTAAGATAGCCCCAAAATCGCTCACGAGGCCTCCAAGATGGCCCCATGACGGCCCAAGAAGCCTCCAAAAAGGCCCCAAGAGGGCCCCAAGACGGCCCAAGAGGCCTCCAAGACGCCCAAGATGGCCTCCAAGACGGGCCCGAAGCGCCCCAAGAAGGCCGCAAGTCGGTTCAGAGAGGCCCCCAAGACGGCTCCCGACGTCGTCAGACGGGCCAGGAACGCCATAAGACGGCCAAAGAAGCTCCCGAGAAGCCCCAAAAGGGCCCCAAGAGGCCCTCAACAGGCCCCAAGAAAGCCCAAGATAGCTCCAACATTGCCTCCAAGAGTGCCAAGAGTGCCATCAGAGGCTCGGAAGAGGCATCCTCCCCCTTCTCCTTGTTCCTCCTTCTACTCCTCCTCCCCTGCCTCCCCCCCCGCGTTCCCCGAAACCTTTCCAAACCGACTCGGGGAACACATGGTCCGATAGCTTGACTTCGACTTCCGAAGCCGCCGATGGAGAGCTCCACCGCCCCCTTTCCTCCTCCGCGTTCCAGCCTGCTCTTGCTCATCCCTCCCCTTCCTGCTGCTGAGGCTGCGCTGCCCGCCGCGCGATGCTGCAGAACTGCCGCCGCCAGCTGTACCAAAGCACTTCAACGTATCCCTCACAGAGATCGTGCCTCATGGGGAGCTCGACGGTTCGACGACGACGGCGCCGGCGTCGACAATGACATCGACGACGCGCGCGGCCACTGGGCTCTGACATCATGCGGCCATCCGACCTGCGCGTGCACTCGGAGCAGCCCGCCAGGGGCATCAAGGCAACACCCCACGCGATGACGACGGCGGCGGCGGCGGCGGCCCGCTGGGCTCCGGCAACATTCCGCCTTCCGTCCTGCGCATGCACTCGGAGCAACCCGCCAGCGGCATGAAGGCGTATACCCACGCGTTGGGGTCCGGACAAATGCACGTGCCCGTGCGCTTGGCCTGCGCGACGGGGGCGGCCGGACACGTCTACCCCAGCAAGGGATCTGCCGGCAGCACTGCCCCAGCCCTCCAAGCACAACGCCGGCAGAGGACCCCAATAGAAAGCCACCAGGCCCCGCGCCGCTAGCTCCCGGGTGCCCGATTCTGCTCGGCGGGGGGAGAGAAGGGATGAGACGCCGAACGCGCAAGCGGGAGAACAGGGCCGGCGGGACGAGGCAATGGAAGTGGCAGGCGAGGGGGGGACAGAGAGAGGATAGCAAGCAGGGAGCAGGGGAGGGCGATGGAGAAAAAGGAAGAGGAGGAGAGGGGAAACACCCGCAAGGCTGGAGGGCCCTCGTGGCCATCGCTAAACGCAGCTCGGAAACCTGAGCAGTGGAAGAGGTCTCGAGTCCGATTGCAAGGCCAAGAATTTTGCTTCCAGTGGTTCTGAACCAAAAGCGGGGGAACAACCTGCGGGCGACCACTTCTAGATTGGACGCGCCACTGCGTGTCCAACCCATGGCCGGCACATGATGTAGGCGTCAGCTGCGAAACTCAAGAAGCAAGTAGTCAGGAAGAGAGCTGAGCAAAGCAGGCCTATGCAAAACATAACAAAACAATGCAAGACGAGAGCGGAAAAAATCTGCCACTGTGCGTGCGCGTGTCCCCGAACGGGAAAATGTCGTGGGTCGTCCTGGGGCCCTCTTGGAATCCTCATGGGCCGTCTTGGGGCAATCTCGGAAGCAATCGGAACCGTTTTCGGCCAATCTGGTCCCGAACAAACGAGAACTCCAAATCAGAAGCCGGAAAACGTGTTCGCCAACGTGGGCCCGAAACGATATGTTTCTAACAATCTATGCTGTGCAATCTACGTGGAACATTCTATGTTGTGCAAATTACACTGTGCTCGATTTGGCGCAATAGTCCCACCAACATACCTGCGACTTGGTTTGCAAAACCCATGCGGCGGCGACTGCGGTGACTGCTGGGCGTTGGCTGGCGCATCGGTGCGGCCGCGCTAGTGCGCGCAAACTGGCGCGCACGGCGGCGAGCTGTTCTGGCGTGGCCGCAGGGCGCTTGTACGCGCGGGCACTGCAGTGCGAGTTGCTGGTTCGGGCGGGCGCAGTACAATGGCGACGTCGCCAAAGACACACGGTGATGATCGCAGCGATACTTGGGGGCGATGATGACGATGGCGACGGCAAGGCCAATGACGGTGCCGATGCTGATCACGCCGACAACGTGCTGATGTTGGTCACCTGTCGGTGGTGCAGGTTGTGGACGGATTTCGACAAACGCGCGGCCGACGGGCGCGAATGGCCCGCACGGTACGATTTGATAGGGATCGTGACCCCCCAGCACGCGCGAAAGGACGTCCGAATGATTTCGACATGCGAGAGCGAGAGGCCCGCTCAAGCGCATGTGATGATGATCGGTTCTGAAGCACTGATCATTTGACACCACGATCGCCTCGTGAATATGTGCAAAGCAAAACGCGCAGACCCTCTTGTACACATGCGTTGTGATACAACTGGCTGTTGTGGTTTAGCGCGGAAGTCGATCTTGACATTCGTAGGAAGTCCAAAGTTGTCGAATGACTTCGGCATACGCGCGCGACGCCGCGCGTGAGCGAAGTTGTTTTCGCTTGTCAGATGCAAATGATCCTTGGGAACTGATGAGTGCTGACGAATTGATAAACGAGTGTGCGCGCATAGTGCCACTTGACAATGATGGAAAAAAGGAGGGGGCGATAAAAAGGTTTCCCACTGAAGAATTCACACGCGAAATGGACAATTGGGGCTGGATCATGTTCTGAACAGCGCGGGCCCAGGACCCGATAGTTCGGGTGGGTGGGTGGGTGGACAACGCTGTCTGCGGCCCGCCTTGGCAAACCATCCAGGTGGTGCAATTATCCGCGTCTTGTTCTATTCATTTCCTGCACGATAATGTGTGGTGCCACCTGTGCGGTGTAGTTCATGTTAACGAACGAACTGACACACCCCATCGCTTTGCCAGCATCCCACCCACTCACCCGCAACATGGTCAGCAAAACCCATGCGGTGGCGATTGCGATGCATGCTTGTCGTTTGCTGGTGCATCTCTGTGGCCGCGCCAACCAAAGCGCGCGCAGCGGGAAGCTAATTTGGCGGGGCCGACGCGGCCGCGGTAGGGCTGCCCGCTGGGCACATCCCACTGGGCACTTCACTGCGGTGCGGCGACTTGGGCGGGCGCGGTCTCATGGCAACGTCGACAAAGGTAGACACGATGATGATCGTAGCGATGATGGCGACGATGTTGACAACGACGAAGACCGGCCAGTGCGGGTGCCGATGCGGATCACGCCCGCAACGATGACGGCGTCACGCTTTTTTGAGAACTGATGTTGCGACACCATGTGTTTGTACGTTTGTTTTGGCACTCGGTTTTGAAATCGTTTTTCTTTCGCCCGGGTGAATGCCATGACAAGCCCGATGAGCAGCAGACAACTGGCTGAAGATAACTAGGTTGCCCAATGACTGGAGCTACTTAAACTGAAAACCGGCCTGCGCCGGCTGAGCGAGAAGATATGAGGCGTAGTCGATCCCAAACTCGGGACATGGCGGTGGACAACGCGATCACTTCGAACTGAAGTGGATAATGTGCAACGTCTATATAAACATATTCCATACCTGCAAGGTCGAGCGTTTGCCCGGTCACCGCGTGCACCGTCCAAGCAGCAGGTCCGTGACCGTTGCGGTAACCTCCGTCACTGGTGACCACAACATGTTCCATCAACGCGTCCTCGTCCTCCCCGTGCCAGAGCATGGCGTCCCGGTCGCGCAGCGCCGCGTTCGCAAGATGGTCCGCTGGTTTGTTCCACTCCCTCGGGACCCACCCCACACGCTACGACACCGTACAGTTTTTGACGGATTCGGGCATGCGCGCGCGACGACGCGCGCGCGCACTTCGTCCCATTGTTGCAGACAGAATTCTCGCGACGCCACGCGCGCAAAGGCGTTCAAACGATTTCGGCACGCGCGCGCAAAGCCCGTTTGATTGTATGTTTTGAACACGTTGGAAAATCTACGGTTTCGTATGAAATTTGCAAGAACGCACGCGCAACTGTTGTTTGCTAGTGAAACTCAGTGTTGCGCAACAGGTTGCTCTTAGATGTTGTGTTTGGACTCTCGGTTTTGGCATTCTTACGAAACCAATCCAGTTTTTGAAGGATTCCGGCATGTGCGCGCGCGACGACGCGCGCGTGCGCACTTCGTCTAACGTTTTGCAAGGGATTCTTGACCACTTATGTTTTTTGATTTGACAAAAGAATGGGCGCGCATAGAACTTGTTGCGGAGGATGGCGGGGGGGGGGCGATACCGGCTCGCCTGGGATGGCACGAGTTCGCATGAAGGATGGACGGTGGGGCAGAATCGCATGTAAATTGCAATTCGGAAAGGTGATGTGGTAATCCCAGGCGGGTATGGCAGAGTGTATTCTCATTAAAAAAAAAATCATCGACATGATGCAATCTATGTGGTTTTGATCGCCCTGTCGAACTCGAAGTTGTCAATTCCACTGCACGCGCAATCTTTCCACCGACCCGCCCGCATCTTTGTTTGCAGAACCCATGCGGCAGCGGTTGCGGTGACTGCTTGGCGCTGGCTGGCGCATCGCTGCGGCCGCGCTAGATCGCGCAGGCGCGCGCGTAGACCGGCCAGCTGGCCTGGCGCGAACGACGCGGCCGCGGTGGCGCTGCCCGCTGGCATGCCGTGCTGAAGCGCGGGCGGCCCCGTGCGAGTCGGGAACTCGGGCGGGCGCGGTATCATGGCGACGTCGACAATGGCAGACATGATGATGATGGTAGCGATGCTGGTGACCACGATGGGTGTGACGACGGCAAAACCAATGACGGCGCCGATGCTGATCACGCCGCTGATGATGATGGGGTCTACATGTCGGTGATCAAGGGCGGAGGGGGGGTCGGCATGCGCGCGCGGCCGACGAGCGCGGGTGGCCCGAGTTGTATTGTTTGACCGGGACCGTGCCCCCACCAGCACAGGCGCAAGGGCGTTCGAATGATGTCGACATGCGCGCGCGAGAGGCCCGCTTGGTCGTACTGGAAGAGTTCGCACGAGCGCGTGCGCAGACTTGTTTGGACAATCGTGGGGCAGAACCGACGTTGTTATATGTGGTCGGGGCAATCGATTTTGACCCCCCTACGGAGCCACACGTTTTTTGAATTCCAGCATGCGCGCGCGACGACGCGGGTGTGTACTTCGTCCCATCTTTCGCAAGTGGCTCTTGGGAAATTGTGATTGCTGGTACGCGAATGTGCGCGCGTAGTCTTTTTTGCGGAGGGTGGTGTCTGAAGGGGATTGGTTCAGCGGGTGGTACGAATCCATGAACGATGGGGCGTAACTCATCGTATGTAGACTGCGCATATCCAGTGGTAAATCTTGACTTCTTTTCTAGAGACGGAAATCGATGTGCTGCAATCTACGATGCGCAATCTAGGCGGCGACGGGGCGGCGACGGCAAGCACGGAGCCGCCAGACCGCCAGCCAGACGGACAGCCAGGCCCAGACCACGGGCGGCGAAGAGGCGGCGACGGCGAGCACGGAGCCGCCAGACCGCCAGCCAGGCCCAGACGACAGGCGGTGACGAGGCGGCGACGGCGACGGCGGGCACGGAGCCAGCCAGACCGCCAGCCAGGCCCAGACCCCGTGCGTGCGTTGGGGGAAAGATTGTCTTTGCCCCCTCAAGCTGTCTGGGGGTCCTCTTGGGGCGCTCTCGGGGCCCTGTTCGGCCCACTTGGGGGCCTCCCATGGCTCTCTTGGGGCTCTCTTGAGAGCCTCTTGGGCCTTTCTGGGCACATCATGGGGCCCTCTTGAGCCGTCTTGGGGCTCTCTTGGGCAGCCTTGGGGCCCTCTTTTGGGGCCTCATGGGCCGTCTTGGGGCGATCAACCAGGCATTTTGAGCCGCCTGGGCTCGTCGGAAGCCCGAAAAGGCGAGGACCTAAAAACCTGCAAAGCCATAGGACCATCAATGTTTTTGGCCTCCTGAGCCCTCTGGTGAGAGGTCCTCTCGAGGGCATCTGTGGCCGTCTTGGGCCCCCCTGGGCCGTCTTGAGGTCATCTGCCATCTTGCAACGCTCTTGGCCAGTCTTGGGCTCTCTTGGCGCGCTCTGGGGCCGTCTTGGAGCCCCTGTGGACCCCTCAGGGGCCGCTTTGGGAACCTCTTGGCCGCGTTTGAGGGCCACTTGAGCCGTCTTGGGGGGGCGGGGGCGTATTACGCTGGCCCGGGCGCGGTTCCCCCCTCCCCTGGACACCCTCCCTAAAGGGCTTCGCCTTGCCAATCCGTCATCACCCGTACCTCGCTCTCTCCGCCATGCCGGCCGCTGCTCTGCACGGCTGTTTATCAGGGCCCCCCCCCCAGCCCCCCCCTCCAGTCGCAGAGAAGCGCATGCGCACCCCATGCTCCCGAGGCCACGCTCCCTGGCACAAGCACTATTAGTTCGCGCTCCCGGGGCCACGATCCCTCGAAACGCGTCCACGTCCCGAGCTTCCAGGACTGCCCATGCAGGCAACCAAGGCAACCAAGATGGCCCAAGATGCCTCGAAGATGGGCTAAGATGGCTCCAAGGCGGCCCAAGATGCCTCCAAAAGGGCCCCAAAGGGCAAAGAGGACCTCCAACAGGGCCCGAAGAAACCAAAATCATTGATCCCTTGATGTGTTGAATGATCTTCGGATTCTCGCCTTTTCGGGCTTCCGTCAGTTCAAGACGGCCCAGGGAGCGTCCTCTATGGCCCCACGATGGCCCAAGAGACTCCCCACGAGGGCCCAACGATGGGCCAAGAGGACCCCACGAGGGCCCAAGGGGGCATCTAAGCCCGTCCCAAGACGGCCAAAATGGGCCTCCTGTGTGACCCAAGACGGCCTTAGAAGGCCCTTCGACTGCCAAGACGGCACCAAGACGGCCCCATGACGGCTCCCAGGGAGCCACCATACGGCCAAGTGGGTCCCAAGACTGCCCACGAGAGCCACAATACGGCAAAAGAGGGCAGTAAAAATGCCCAAGAGGGCCCCAAGGGACTTCCAAGACTGCCTCACAGGAGGCCCAGACAACCACAAGACGGCCCAACCACGTTTGATGAGAGTTCCCCTAATAGTCAAGACGAAAGGAACCACATGTGACAGCCTTCCTCTTCCTCCTCCTCCTCCTCCTCCTCCTTCTCATCCTGTTCCTCATCACCACCATCACCATAACCGTCACCATCACCATCGCCATCAGCATCAACATCATCATCCGCATCCGCATCAGCAGCAGCAACACCATTATCACCACCAGACGCCCACCACCCACCATCAACCACCACTCACCTATCATAAACCATACTACACAACGCATCATCATACTCAACATCATCATCATCATCATCATCAACATCATCATCATCATCATCACCATCATCATCATCATCATCATCAGCCTCATCATCAACACCATCATCATCAACAACATGATCATCAACATCCTCATCATCACCGTCATCATCAGCATCATCGGCATCATCGTCATCATCAGCATCATCACCATCGTCGGCATCATTGTCATTGGCACCATCATCACCATCATCATCATACTCAGCATCACAATTACCATCACTATCATCACCACCATCAGCATCACCACAAGCACAATCATCATCACCACATCATCATCATCAGCAGCATCATCATCAGCATCGTCATCATTATCACGCAGCTCTCAAGCCTGAAGATACGACGTGTCACACGTGACGGCCTCCCGACCTCCTCGAACAATCGCCACCCAGAATGCTGGGCTGGCAGGGTGGCGGAACTTACCAAAGGCAGCTGGATCACGCTAAACGCGAATTGAGAAAAATCAGCGTCTTGCGCTACTGACCATAGAGGCGTGCACCGTGGCCTCGGTCTCCAGCGGGCTGATCAAAATGGGACCGCCTCTGAAGCAACATCCCTTGCCATACACCCGGCCGAATTGAGCAACCCGCGCGGCCCTCCGAAGACAGGCACGGGTGATGGTATTTGCCCGCTCTTTCACTGACTGGAAAAAGGATGCTCCACCACGCCGAGCACCAGCCCGGGAAGGGAGGAGGAGGAGGCGGACGAGGAGGAGGAGGAGGACGAGGAGGGGGACGGACAGAGGGGACAAGCAGGAGCAGACTAATAGAGAATGTAGGAAGAAAGGCAGGAGTATTGCGGGTAAGCAATGAGACAGAACACGAACGGAGGAAGGCAGGCAGGAAACACAAAGAGAAAGCAGGCAAACCCACCATGCCAAACCGGACTGACAATAAGCGCAAGCCCGCGGGGACCCCAAGACGAGGAGCATGAGGAGGAATCTGTGGAGCAGGAGCAGGAGAGGGGGACAGGAGGCGGACGCAAGACCCCTGAGATCTCGTAGACACCAGGCCTTCTCATCTGGCCAATGCAAGAGCAACTCCTCCTGTTCCTGCTACGCTTCTCGTGGTCGCGTTCACGATCGTACTCCGGATGCTTCCGCTCCACCTGCTCCTCCTCAACAGTCCTCCTGCTCCTCCTGGTGTGCTGGTGTGCTGCCTGGCATGGTCGCGCAAGTACGACACCAGACGCCTACAACCCAAACGCGCGGCCACTCCCGAACAGTGCAATCCGACCCAGTGGACACCCAACCTTGTAACAATGATGTCCTGTCCCTCAGGATTGGCTGTCTGCGCCTAGGGTAAAGTAGCCTTGCCTCACCTCCTACCTCCAGGTTCGAGCCTGACTCCCGAGTGACAATGGCAGTGGGGGGACAACAGCTCTCTAGGTCCCTGCGGTTACAGAGACTATGGTCGGGAACTTCTGCTTAGCTTGTCGCGGCGGCGGCCCCAGCGACACGCTATGCCATGCGAGCGGATAGCGTGTCGCTCCGTTCCGCGGGGCGGGAGGCTTGGGACGTTGAAGCCTGGGGACTGGGAAGTTTCTGACCCTGTAGCTTGCGCAGGTCATGCGGGTACGTGGGGCTAGATGACACATCAGCTCTGGTTTGTGTCCGAGTCCTGCTCCTCCTGCACCTTTTACTGCTACTCATCATGCAGCACATGCATCTCGTACTCCGACTTGTCACGCTGCTGTCCACCCATTCTCCCTCTTCACCGTCATTTTGCTGCTCATCCTCGTTCTTGTACGTCTTTTTCTCTTTCTCCTCCTCCCCTTCCTCTCCTCCTCCTCCTCCTCCTCCTCCTCCTCCTCCTCTAGGCTGCTGGAAGGTCTCGCTAATGGAGCACCCCCTGTGCTTTACCTGCGCTGTCACATCCCTGCCTGCCTCCCGCTCCCCTCTCTCTCCCGGTTCCACCATTATGCTTCCTCGTCCATCCTCCTCCAATCTCCTGCACACTCCCCCAACCTCAGGCATCTACCCTCCTTCCTCTTTCATCCTGTCCACTCGACTCCTCTCTCTTTCACCGCTACTTGCCCCACTGCCATGCTTCTCCTTCTGATCCGCCGTCCTGCAGCCTACTCCAATTCCCTCTACTCGGATCGACCCTCCACCACAATTATCTTCTTTCGTATGTTCCTGCTCCTGCTCCCTCATCGTCCGTATTACCCTCATCATGAACCTCCTCCTCACCTCCCGCCCCCCAGGTGCCGCAAGACGGCCATGAGCCCAATAGATCTGGGTGGTGGCGTTATGGTCCATGCCAACGCCATACAAGCCACCGGGGTGGGTGACAGTCATATCCTCTCTTGGACGGGAGGAAGATGCAACAATAGGAAAAACGGCAAGGCACGGACAACATCGGGCGCAGATATGCAGGGGTTCCACAAAGGCAAGCCGATCTGGAGGATGCAGCTGGCGTCAATGGCTCAGTGAGCAGAGCCCTCTACGACTCGGCCACGGCCCTGGCGCAGACAATGCACTTTTCTCGAACCCGCCCGTGCCGCGTCCCACGAAAATGAATGTCAGAAGAAGATGGACCCAGAGAGGTGGGAACGCTTAGCACGAAACGTGGGGGAACAGTGATGTATCGATACTCCTCCTCCCCAGACATCTCCCTGGGTGCGCTCTAACACAGATTCCGAGGCGGATCCAGGGTGGCGAGAAGTGCCCGCCACGAGGCCCATGGATGCGAAAGAGGGGAAAAGGTCTTGGTGTCGGTATGACTTCTCCTCTGAGAGCGAAGTACAAGAGGAAGATAAGGACGCCCGTTGCCAAAGACGGTCCTGGATCAGCGGCCTGAGTGTCGGGGCGGCGGTGATCTCGCCGCTGAGGTGCATGTCCTCGCAGCACGGGCGAACTGGGATTGTGCGACTGGCCCGCAGGTGTTTTTTCCTCATATCCTAAGATGGGTTTTTTGTTTTTATTTGGACGCCTCCTACTCCTCCTTCCTCCTCCTCCCCATACCTAGACTGACTCATACACAGACTTACTCATACACAGACTTACTCACACTCAGACCTGGTCATGTTAACTTACTCATGCTCATACCTACTCATACTCAGACCTACTCATCCTCAGACGTACTCATGCTGAGACTCACTCAGACCCAGACTTACTCATACTCAGACCTTCTCATTGTCTGACTTACTCACCACACAGCATATTGTGAAGATGTCTCAGGCGGGGCGCTGGTTTCAGCACCCCTAAAAGGAGCTGCCGAGGGGTATTGCACGGTCCCGTTCGCGGCCGTGTTGTGGGGATGTCTCAAGCGGTTTGCCTGTCTTCTGTCTCAACATCTTTCGCTTGGAGACAGGATTGTGAGGACGTCTCAGGCGGGTCGCTGGTTGCAGCTACCTAAAGGGAACCGCCGAGGGGTATTGCACGGTCCCGTTCGCGGCCGTTATGTGGGGATGCCTCGAGCGTTTTGCCTGTTTTCTCTCTCACCATCCTTCGCTGTCGGAGCAGATTTGGAAGATGCCTCGAGCGAGGCGCTCATGTTCGCTCCCCAGGGGGGGGGGGGGCAGATCTTGAGGATGTCTCGTTCGGTTTGCCCGTGTTGGTGGCCAGGCTCGTGGGCACATATTCTCCCCAGGATGCCACAGGAGGCTCCAGCAGGCTTCGGGAGGCCCCAGGAGGCCAAATGAGGTCCCAGGAGGATCAGGAGGCCACAGGAAGATTCAAGAGGCCACAGGATGTCCCAAGAGGCTCCAGGAGGCCCCAGGAAGCTCCAGGAGGCCCCAGGAAGCCACAGGAGGCCCCAGGAGGCCACAGGAAGCGCCATGCGGCCCAGGCAACAGGAGGCCCCGAGAGGCCCCAGGAGCAGGAGGCCTCAGAAGGCAACAATAATGGCTCCAATCCCATGTGGCTTACGTATGCTCCTATATATTGGGCCTCACCTGGAGCTCGAATCCTTGATGTTATACGTATGTGTCTACATCGAATAGATGTATATGGATTGTCCTTCTCCTGTGTATACGATCATACACGTTTTACGTGTTTTCCTATATCTGAATATATATATATATATATATAGGGCTTCCCCTGGGGCACGAGTCCTTTGTGTTTTACGTGTGCTCCTATAGACAACCCTTCTCCTGTGGCTCCAATCCGCAATGATTTATGTACGTCTGTTTCTACAGATCGGGCTTCTCCTGGCACGACTCCTCAATAGGAGGTCCCAGGAGGCTCCAGGAGGCTACGCGAGGCTCCAGGAGGCCTCAGGAGGCCACTCGAAGCCCCAAGAGGCCCCAGGAGGCCCCACGAGGCTCCTGGAGGCCCCAGGAAGGCCCAAGAAGTTTCTGGAGGCCGCGGGAGGCCCCAAGCTCATGCGCAGAGACACACTCGTACTACCCAGACTCATTCACGCTCCAATCCGTACGAAGTTAGATTCATGACCAGACCGTCACAACTCAAGCCCGCTCACATTCGAAAACTTTTGCGCCTAGACTCTCACGGTGGACAGGTCCATGCGAATAGATGCATATATGGGGAGCTCCACGCAGTGAATATTTCTACAGCCGCGGAGCAAAGAAGAGGATGACAAACGCCGACAACGGAGAGCCACTCAGGTCGCTCCAGAAATGGTCAAACCTTCCAAGGATCAACACACACACACTTACACCTTTTCGAGGCTCTGGTGGCGGAAGGCAGTGGGCGGCGGAAGTGCCCCCCCCCCCCGCCGCGAAGACATGCTTTTGTTTCTGGTGGAAGCATGGCTTCCGGAGTCGCGGTTCGCACTGGCAACGTTGGTTCCAACAGCTTCAGCCCTCGAAAGGGCAACAACCGTGGAAAACTGTGACTCACATACGTTCGATGGTGTGCGGGATAACAACAGATCGTAACACGCATTCGCTGGCCTCCTGTCAAGATGCTGGCGAGTTGACCCGCACGTGCGGAAGCAATTCTAAACAAGAGATGAGAAGATTGTGAAAAGGTGGGGACGGCTGGAAGCACGTGATGGAAAATGAAGTTCGCGAAACGCTGTGAATACCCAACAACAAGCAACAACAAGAAAACCGAATACCTATACGACCACCCTGCGGGTGATAAGGAGGTAAGGGGGGGGAGGAGCCCAGCAATGGGCAACATCACCATCATCACCATCATCACCATCATCATCATCACCATCATCATCACCATCATCACCATCATCACCATCATCACCATCATCACCATCATCACCATCATCACCATCATCACCATCATCACCATCATCATCATCATCATCATCATCATCACCATCATCATCACCATCATCATCATAATCATCATCATAATCATCATCGTCGTCATCATCATCAACACCGTCATAATCGGGACACCGACGGGACACCGGCGGGACACCGGTTGCCGGAAGGGAATCATTTGGTCCGGCCGCGCCTCAGCCACAATGGGACACCGGCGGGACACCGCGCGCCACCGGTTGCTGGAAGGGAATCATTTGGTCCGGCCGCGCCTCAGCCACAGGAAACTTTCCTCTCGCCCGCCCTCGCAGCTTCGCCTCGCCCGCACGCACGAAACCGAAATCGATTTCCCGGTAGGGGGCTCTCCGTTCCACTTCGATCTCACCCCCAAACCTCCGACCATAAATCGATGGGGTAGCTCCAAGTTCACGCCGACCGCCGAAAAGCTCAACGGCACGGCAGCAGAACGAGTTGAGATTGTCCAGGACTGGTGAAGAATGGGCGTGATTCCCGAGGTCAAAGCAACGTGGTCCCGTCGGGGCTACGGTAAGGGCCTTGGCTAAACAAACATTGGATAAAGAATCCAAGAACTGGAAGCTGGTGGAACCCCAATCGCCGATTGGCCCTTGGTATCCCCGCCGCCCTCATCAGATAAGGAATCCTCCAGGGTCTGAAGCCCCCTTGGCACATTCCTGAAGCGCCGCTCCGACGGTAGCGGTGGGCGACCGGGAGTGCCATCTGAGAAGCAGCGGGGGCTTCGGAAGCGCAGTCGGGGCAGGCTGAGTCTCTGGCACACGGGCAGAGGCCCCACCAAAACAGAGCAGCGGCTACGCAACGATGACGAGCAGATGCCCCGACGGGTGGGGTCGTAAGTAGGATCGCTCGGGCGCGCGCGAATGCCTACCCACCCCCGAAACATGAGGCCAATGCCGCCCGATTTGGCGACCGAGCGCGCCGATTCTGTTGGGAAGCGGGACCCGGCGCCAGTCCACGCGCCTTCATCCATGCTTGCGCCTCCTCGATGCATGGCCCTGGCTGAGAAAATACCCTCCCGCCGTCTCAGAACGCCGTCCCCCTCGCGCCGCTCCCTCCAGCGCGCCGCCAGCTGGAACCTGCTTCTGTCATCGGTATTCTTGGACCTATCCACATCCCCACTGGCAAAGCCTCGAACCTAGGTGGGGGCAGATGCCCTCTCCGTCGGGTCTCGCGTCACCTAACCCGACCTCGAGGGGGTAGGCTGGTGGCGCCAGTGAACCCTGGCCCGCTGGGAATGGGGATAGGTCTGACGATGCTGTCCTCATAGGAGGCCTCCTGAATGGGGTACTAGTAGATGGGCTCGGGGGATCGCGCCGCATCGCCGATGCATCGCCGATGCGTCGGCGATGCATCGGCGACGTCGGCGGTGCATCGATGACGCCAGCGCAGAGAAAATCCGCCGACCATGTCGGCGTGTGTGAGGGGCTTGTCCGTTCAAGTCGTCATCTCCGTCATTCGTTGGTCGTCGTCTCTGTCGTCCCCTTTCCCTGCCTCCGCCTTTCCCTGGGCTCGTCGAAGCTCGAAGCTCCCCCCCTTTCCCAGGGACCTCCTCAGCGCGCCGCCAGCCAAAGCGAAGTTGAGCAACGTCGTCATTGAGTCGAAGGGAAGCCCCTTCCCTTCGATCCCTTCCCCGCCGGGGGGGGGGGGGGGGGGGGGGCATGGGGGGGGGTTCAGATACGACGACCCCCCCCCCCCCGGGAATCCTGGAGCCCAAACAAGCCCAAAGACGGGCCAAGAATGTCCCAAGAGGCCCCAAAGACAGTCCAAGAGAACCCCGAATCGCCGAACGATCTGTCCAAGACGCCTTGACGGCCTCCAGGCGGCCCAAGAGGCCTGCAAAGCGCCCCAAGAGGCCTCCAGGAGCTTTCCCACGAGAGCCCCAAGAGGTAACATTCATGGATTTCCCATACGTTTTTGAAAAAATGTGGCGGTCGTGCCTCTTCCGCTTCCCAACGCGCCAAGACAGCCCAAGAGGCCCCCAAGATCGCCCCGAGACGGGCCAAGAGGCCCCCAAGAGGGCCCCCTAACGGCCGAACAGAGCCCCAAGACGGCCCGAGACGCCTCCAAGACGGCCCAAGAGGCCCCCAAGACGGCTCCAGGAGAGTGCCCCGACGGGTCCCCCAAGAGGCCCCGAAGAAGCCCAAAGAGGCCCCAAGAGGCTCCCAAGGGGCCCCCAAACTGCCCCCCAAGAGACCTTCGAGAGCGCTCGGGAGAGACCCCAAGAAGCACCCCTGAGGACTCAACCCACATCAGCGTCGTCGTCGCTACCGCCGCCGCCGCCGTCGTCGTTCCCCTTCAGAGACGGGTCCCGGAGCTCACAAAGGCCTCTGGACGAGCGAAGATTGCCCCGAGACGCCTTCAAGACAGTTCAATAAAACGTTGAATCGCCGAACGATCTGTGCAAGACGCCTTCGCAGCCTCTGGACGGCCCCATAGGACTGCAAGACGGCGCAACATGCCTCCAGGCGCAATCCCACGAAGGCCCAAGCAAGCAAAATCCTTCGATTCCCGCCCATTTTCAATAGATTCTTGCGTTCTCGAGTCTTTCGCTCCCCGAGGCTCCCAGACAACCCCACAGGCCCCCAAGATCGCCCCGAGACGCTCCAAGAAGCCTCCAA